TTCCCCCGCGTGACGCGGCCGGGAGGGTCCTCGCGCGCACGGGGGCCGATGAGCTCGACAACGCAACATGGACGAACACAGGCCGAGGGCAGTTGGACACGGGCAACTACCAGAGGCCCAGGGCCTAATTCGTGTGGATTGGGGCACATCCTCTCTGGGCCTACCGAAAGCTTCTGGGCAGGGGCCCAACGCAACCAAGCTTCACGCAGCAAGCAAGCAATTTTCATTTAGGAAAGTGCCAGCCCACGCATTCCTCATCCAGGCACCAGTTGCATGCTACGCAAGCGCTGCTATGCTAACCCTGCCCAACGGTCACGCGCTCACGGGCGAGCTGGATGGGCAGGCAGCCATAGCCGAGTTGCGTTGTTGTATGCTAGATGGGGCGCATGGTGGTCCTTGGGTGCATGTGGCATCTGTGTGTTGGGGATCGAGGTTGTGAGTGATGCGAGAGACATACCTGGTGCTTGAGGCGAACGGCATTCGCCGAGATCTGGTCGTACTTCGGGGAGTTGTTGACGTCACCAGCGGCATTGTAGATAGGCTAGATAGGATCTGCCAATCGTAGTCCGGGCGTCGAGCGCTCGACATTGGTTCATTATTGATGATGATGGGACTATTCGCACATTGTGACTTGTGAGCTTTTGCTATGCTCTTATTTGGTGGAACTCGTGGTGCAATTTTGCTTTTGGTTCGAGGTCACGACTATCTGGTCTCATGTGTATGATGTTGTTTGGTCTTTTGGAATCCGCTATTGCTCATTTTCCTTGCACATCATGACATTCACCTAAAAACAAACTACGCAGAGATTCTCTATCTGGGACACATAGTCTTTTACTCCCTGCCTTCTCAAGAAACAGCAATCCATTTACCATCGTAAATTTGTCAGAAGTTACTTTATCTTTCACTTCTAACTTACGAATGATCTCAAACACTACTTGATCTTGCTGATAGGCTTCCACCAAGGATCGAGTTACATCGCCGGATATACCAAACTCGGTCACTAGCGCGCCTACGCGAAAGCGCATCAGCCACTTCGTTATACTCTCCCCTGATTGGATCAAGTTTAATAGTCATACATGTCTATCACTTGGATCCACCTTTTGAGTGCATCATAGAGTACAGGTTGAGTCTTGTTCCAGCGCAAAGTCTCATGGTCAAATCTCAAATAAAAGAATCTGCCTAAGAGATAGTGTCTCCAATGGACCAACGCTCTATAGAGGGCATAGAGCTCACGCTCATACGTGGACTTTGCTAACTTTTGAGATGGCATCTTGTAGCTCATATACTCGATAGGCCTTAACTTTTTCCCCTCCTTTTGTGCAAGGACCACGCCTATGCCATATTGGCTGGCATCTGTGGTCACTACAAAGGGTTGCTCAGGATCTGGAAGTTTGAGAACTTCATAGTATGTCAGAGCATACTTCAATTTCTTGAAGCTTGCTTCACACTCTTCGGTGCACTCCCAAGGGGTGTCAAGGTGAGTTAAATATGTTAATGGGGAAACTATATAGTACTATAGTTTTTAACAAACGGACGATAGTAGCCTGTCATCCCCCAAAACGATCGGACCTCAGTAACAGTCTGAGGTCTAGGCCAGTCACGTATGCTGGCCACTTTGGCATCATCTGGCCTCAACCCATCCGCAAAAAAATCATGACCCAAGTACAAGATCTCGATGGGACCGAACTCGCATTTCTCCAAGTTGACCTTGTACTGGTGTTGTCTTAGGAGACCTTGCATTGTTTTCAAGTGCTCAACGTGCTCCTCTACAGTCTTACTAAAGATAAGGATATCGTCGAGGTACACGACGATAAACTTGTCTAAGTAATCATGAAAAAGACTATTCATTGCATGCTGGAATGTTCTAGGGGCATTGCATAGGCCAAAGGGCATCACCACAAACTCGTACGGACCTTGCCTGGTCTGGAAAGCAGTTTTGTGATGGTCCTCAGGTCCAATAGCAATTTGATGGTATCCGGACTTCAGATCTATCTTTCCGAAGTACCGACATCCCTGCACTCTATCCTATAGGTTGTCGATGCAAGGTAGGGGCTCTACGTTCTTAACGGTAAAGGCATTGAGGCCCCTATAGTCAATGCGCATCCTTAGGGTACCTCCCTTCTTAGGAACGAATAGGATTAGAGCACCATAAGGAGAGGTACTAAGTCCAATCCATCCCTTTTCTGTGAGCTCTTTGAGATGGCGACGAAGCTCATCCAACTTCGCAAGAGACATCCTATAGATTCGTCCTCTAGGTACCTTACTAACTGGAACGATCTCTATTGCATGAACCACCTCCCTTTCCACCACACCACTTAGCTCCTCAAAAAGGTCTAAATAGTGTGCAACGACTGCTTCTATCTCTGGGGTGATTTTACGGCCTCCCCTTTCTCAAAGACGAAGACTGTACATGCCTTCCTCGCGATTCTGTTTATAGTAGTTACAGAAGGATGCACACATGCACCCGTAGTTTTCCACTAGACTGCTAGTTTTGAACTTTTGCAGTCTAACGGTTGTATCGTTGGGCAACTTGTGGATCATCACCTTTCTATCCCAATCGAATTGAGGTTGAGCAACCTCGAGGTAGAACATACCTAGCGGCATGTCGAATGGCAGTTCATTGTTCACAAGGAACGAGATTTTATGTTTCAGTTCCCCTCCTCCACAGGAGAGGGTGCAGACTACGTCCTTGACATAGACTTGTACAACCATGCGACGCTTGTTGGCTAGCGTTGATGTTACAGATCTGTTGAGCCGCTGCACTTAGTCCCCTGAGCGCAGCCTACCCACACAAGCACGATTGATGAAGTTTCGTGCAGAGCCTATGTCTGCAAAGACACTCATTTTGCGGCCACCTACATCAACCTCTACCACGAAATGTTCGCCCTTAGGACCTTTGCTAATCATCACCAAGGAGCCTCTGGGGTCCTTCCCTGACCACTTAGTCTGTAACTCTTTCAGGAACTCGGACACATCTCTTGAACAAAGCATTGGTGGGTTTGAATATGTCTGCGGAACGATGGATGGGTCACTAGCCTTGGCCAACGCCTGAAGTGGTGAAGGCAACGTTACCACTTCAGCACGAGTAAGAGCGGCTAACACTCCTACTAGCCCGAGGTGTTTCCCTGCGAAGTGCTCGCAGAAGCACCACCAGGGTTCGAAGATAAGCCCACCACTATTGGAGAGGCTACCTTCACGCTGACCTTCTTGCCTCGATAAGTTCTGGATGTGTGGCCATAGTTGCCACAGTTCAGGCAAGTACCCCTAGCTACCCCTAGCAACTCGGTCTCTCCACACCTCGTAATCTACACCAAGTTTTACCCATGCGGGTGTTCCTTGGTCGCCCTGACCCTTGGACCGGCCTACCTTCTGCTTCCCGATCCCCCTCGTCCTTTCGTTGATAGGCGCCACGACTCCCCCATCCGAAGTCTCGCTAGCCCCATCCTACTCTGTCTCATCCCCATAGTCTGGGAGGTCGTCAATCTCAGCCGCCTAACCATCATGGTCGACGAACATGAGATTGCCTTTCTTCTTCCAGTCTTGGGGAAGTCTCTTCTTCCTACCATCTGACTGACCCTGATAAGCAGACCCACACTTAGCCTAGATGTTGCATACCGTATAGGTGCAGACTAGAACAAGAACCGACCTTTCAATACAAGGTATAAGATAGCACAGCGGAAGGCTTAGATACCAGTGAGCCGAACAATCAATGTTGTAATGCAGCCC